CTGAACTTGAGTGGAACAGTGACGGGGAGAAGGGGCTTAGCAGCAACTAGATATGCCTGAGAAGGTCTAACCCTGAGCCTAGCGGTCCAGCATCAGGGGGAATACAGACTCTTTGGAGAACTTCAGCATTCAGCTTAAGTCCACGTCCATTCTGACCCTAAGATGAGGGAAGAAGGCAGCTGTAGAAAGTGCAGGGTCTCCATGGCCTTTGTATGAAGTGTGAAGGGAGGACATGAAGTTTCTGCATTTTCATTGGACTAACGTAGTCAAGGAGCTGCAGACTTTAAGGATATCAGCATTGCAGGCAAATGACCGGGATCCCGTGCTCCAGTGGTGGGAACCGGATGAAAGAGCCACTCTGACACGGAGATCAGAAGTGTCCCCAAGGACAATGCATCCACCTGAGGACACCCTCTCCCTTCGTGAGGTCATGGAAGCCGCAATTCTTCCCTTGACTGATATTTACCTGCTATACACTGATCTGGCCACACCGGTTATTTATGACCAAAGTCTCTTCAACTGATACTGGTTGTTAAATACTACTATTTTTAATATTGCTTCTATATCTCACATTTCCAGAAACCATCTTAAAAGGAAAGTCACAACTTTCAAAGATAGAGAATTGTATCCGAAGAGACTAAGCATTTATTTAAAGAGACTGCTAATTATTTGGATCATATTATAAACATATTAGGTTGAACTAAAATTAAGTTGCCCTTCCCTTTGTCACTAAGGTGGAGAACCTATAAGACGGATCAGATCTATTAATTGTATATAAACAAACTATATTATTTCTGTATGCAATTCAATGGATTTACAGCTTTGTGTCCAATTCTAGCACAGGAGACTGGAAAGATGTGGGAACTACCTTTAGCACTTAAATTCATTAGCATTCTTAGCTCCACCCAGGCAGGGATTTTGTCTGTTTGGTTGATAACTGTATCTCCAGTGCTCAGAATAAGTGTCTGGCACATGGTAGGTGCTTGGAAGGTATTTACTGAAGGGATTACAACTGTTACATGGGGGAGACTTGCAAAGTGCCCCTTAAGCACTCCGATACAATTTCAAAAAAGCAGTGTGTCCCTGGTGTCATCCATCATACCCCATACTTGTCAGCTCCCTCTAAGAACATTATGTTCCATTATAGGCATCAGAATTTAAGAGGAGCATTCATAAATAAAATAGAGAAGACCCAGAAAGGAGCAGGCAGGACAAAAGAATTCTGAAAACCACCCCAAATAAGAAACAGTTGACAGTACTTCAGAAAAAATTATTATGAAAGATATGATGCTATTTCCAAATATTGGAAAGGCCTTCATCAAGGACAAGTCTGAAATAAATGTCTAATTGCATGTTTGTAATTAGACCCAATGGGAAGAAATTATGGATGGGCAAATTTTGGCTCAATGTAACAAGAACCTTCTGACTCTAACTTTCAAATAATGGAATGGACGGCTAATGTGATAGTCAATCATATGTTGATTGTATATTGTCAAACTAATATAAAAAGGATCATATTTACAAAAGTACTCAAGAACTTCATCAGTTTGGCCTAGGGCCTCTCTTCATCTTTGATATTTCAATGATTAGTTATTATATTAGTAATATGAAACAATACCTTTATGTTTTGAATGATTTTTATTGTAATAGTAGATCAGAAAAATTGTCTTCCTCAGAGAATAGTAAACATTTTATTCTGTGATTCTATGGATTATACAGTTGTTGTCAGTCCAAATGTTGGTAAATATTAAATGAAAAAATCTCCATGATTTTGCTTTTATTTTTCAAGTTGAATTTTATAAGATTTTCCTCCCGCCCTGGCTGGGAGGAAAATCTTGTTGGAGTGCCACCCCGTACGCCAAAAGGCTGGGGGTCTGATCCCCAGTCAGGGCGCACGAGGTGGGCAGCCAGTCAGTGTTTCTCTCTCACACCCACACTCCTCGCTCTCTCCCCTCTCTCTCCAATCAGTAAACACATCCTCAGGTGAGGATTAAAAAGAAAGAGTCAGTCTTGGTGGCCTTTGCACTGATTAACCTCCAATATCGAAAAATGCTTGGGTCTCTCTGTTTCCTTCACGGGGAATACTTCTCTTAGTTTTGTCAAAAATAGACAAAGCGTATCAATAAATGCCACACATCTACTTGACTAACCTGCGTGGACTTCAAAGGAACAGTGTCTCATTTGCCACAAAGGTCACATTGAGGGCATTGTAAATAATCAATGATTAATTTATGCATTCACCATTTATTCATTTGGGCAAGGCACTGAGAACATGAGAGTGATTCACTTCCTTCGTGAAATCTATAATTCTGTAGCTATTATGAGTTACAAGTTATCCTTACTAATATGTTCAGTATTTTTATTACAAATGTAATATTTGCCCATTGTAGGGCAAATTCACAAGATGAGGAAGAGATTAAGAAGAAATCCAATGTAATCTTACCACTAGGAGATAAAAGCTGGTGGTATTTGGTAATGGTGCCTACAGACTTTTATTCTGTGTGTGTGCACACAGTAAATATATTGATATATTTGTACATTATCTAAATATATACAAAATAAACATATTTAAAATGCCTCTACTTATATAACATACAAATATATGCATTTGTGCGTGTATATATATGCTACACATACTCTTTTATAAATTGCTATATTTTAAATAAATATAGATCTACCTAGTCATAATGACTGACTGAGGGTAGTTTATTACATGTATATGCCATAATTTATCAAATTTTCTACTGTTGGTCAGTTAGATTGCTTCTAATTTTTTTCTATTATTAATGATATAATCATCCGCACCTACATTTTTATTCATTCATCCATTTTTTTTCAGGACAAGTATTTTATACTTTGTTAAACTTCAAATTTTATCTTCTGGAAGATTTTAAAATTAAGAATACTAACACAATATTTGTGCTCACTTGGCAGCATATATACTAAGAATATTCACGCAATGCTTTAAGCATTGAAAAACAAGCAAAGCTGACCTACATTCTTAGATGTCAGGATAATGGTGCTTCTGGGGGCCAGGTGTATGTTTTGATTGGAAGGGGACATAAAGAGGGTTTTAAGCACACTTGAACTACAGTCATCCCCTCTCATCCAAAGTTCACTTTCTGTGGTTCTAGTTATACACTGTCAGTAGTGGTCTAAAAATATTAAATATAAAACTCCAGAAGTAAATCATCCATAAGTTTTAAGTTGCTCGCCATTCGGAGTAGCTCGCTGAAATCTCCCACCATCCTGTCCGGTCCTGCCCAGGATGTGGCCCATCGCTTCGTCCTGAGTACTGACACTGTATGTGACCCCTGCCCATCAGTCACTGAGTGTGGCCCTCTCAGTTTTCAGATATTTCGGAGGACAGAGACCACATTCATATAACTTTTATCATAGTATATTGTTACAATTGTTCTATTTATTATTAGTTATTGTTGTTAATATCCTACTTCATCTAATTTATAAGTTAAACTTTATCAAAGGTATGTACGTATAAGAAAAAATGTAGGTTATATAGGGTTCAGTACTATCCTCAGTTTCAGGCACCCACTGGGGGTCTTGAGATGTAACCCCCAAAGATGGGGGGGCATAGTCTGTTGGGGTAGTTATACAGGTGAGTTCACTTTGTAAAAACTCAACACGCTATAGACTTGACTTGTCACTTTCTATTTGCTTGTATTTACACTGCACATCAATGAGATAAGTTCAAAATTATGTTATGATTTGCATCCATGTTTTATATCCTTAGGTAAATTCTAAGAATTAAATACTATTATCATTTTAAATTCTTTAAAAATTTCATGTTGCTGATTGTTCTACTGAAAGTTTGCACTAGTTCTGACTCTTGCCAACAATATATAAAATGTGATTTTTTGCAATGAAAACTTATTATCATCATTTTCTAATTTTAATGATTTATACATTTTTTAAATTGAGTACTTTCCTAGATTTTTGTTTGAAAAAATTTCAAACTTAGAGGAAAGCTAAGAGAATAAAATAACAGACACCCCTAGATCCTTCATTAGGTTTGCCAACTTTTAACTTTTTGCCAAATTTGCTTTCTCTTTCTGTTTCTATTCACACACACACAAACACACAAATAGAATTATATATGTATATGTGTGTGTATATATAATTAATTTTGATTTTTCTGAACAATTTGTAAATAAGTTTTAGACATCATGACAACTTACCCCTAATGTATCAGTTAAGACTAAGAATATTCTTTTACATAACCATATACATTACCAATCCTTTAAAACTGAACAATAATTTCATAGTATCAAGTATTATCTAGTCCATATTTATATTTCCACAATTGTCCCAATACGCTCTTTTCTAACTGATTAAAAAGCCATGATTAAATAAAGCTTATTCACTCACTGAAGTTAGCTGTTCTGTCTCTTTAGCCTCCCTTTACCTGACACGGTCCCTTACCATCATCATCCCACCCCACTTTTTTTCAAGACATTGGAATTGTTCAAGTCTAGGTCCCTTGAAAACCTTCTGTTTATTTTCAAATGTGTGTGACCATGCTTGGTTTTGCAGACTTATATTACAAAACTATTATAGGTTTTCAGGAACCCATGTATCAGCAACTGTAACAAATTTGGGGGTGTTGGGTAAACAGAGCAAGCTCTCCAGTTGGGCACCAGATGTTTTTACTGAGGGGAAAAGAAGCGTTAAGAGCTTTTAAATCTTACGTGATTACTTTGATCATATCGTAGTGACATTTCATTCTCTGGAATCTACTGTGAGGGTTTTCCTTCGTATTATTTAATGCATCAGTTAGTATAGAACCAGTTTTAAAGACTTGAAAATGCAGTGACAGCCGAGAAGGATATTTTGAAGTTTGCAATGATCCCTATATAAATAGAACGGATCAGCATAACTTGGGGATAAAATTAGCCGACACTTTGTGGGCGCTCCAGCATGTGCCTGTTTGCTCGGTGCCTCTCCTGACAAATCACAACAAAGCCTTCGGAGGAAGAGGAAGGATGGACGGCACCGCGGCCCCTGTCACTAAGTCTGCAGCTGCCAAGCTGGTCAAGAGAAATTTCCTTGAAGCTCTAAAGACAAATGACTTTGGGAAATTGAAGACCATTTTAATCCAAAGGCAAATAGATGTGGATACAGTTTTTGAAGTTGAAGATGAGAATATGGTTTTGGCGTCTTATAAACAAGGTAAAAATTATTGGTGTAATTGGTATAAGACAGAAAATAGAATTTTTTAAATGCACAGCATCAGTCATCCACTGTAAATCTATTGCTTCTTTCAGTATGGATTTTTAAAATATTTCTAATTTAATCTTTTCTTTTTTCTTAAACTAGATTGCAACATAAGTTGATATATATTTCTTTCCTTTCCTTTTGTCCTTTCCTTTCTTTTCTTTTCTTTTCTTATCTTTTCTTCTTTTTTTTCTCTATCCTTGTACCTGAAATTTGAAATCCTGGCCAATTATATTTAGTAATGCACTTTCCTTCTATTTCTAACTTTCCTTCTGGCTGTAATGACATAGAATAGAGGAAAGATCTCTAGATTGTGGCTAAAGAGACTGCTCAGATCTAATCCAAATGGTATGACTGGCTTGGGAACACGGAGATAGCAGTCTCTGTTAACAAGCCACTTAAAAGTACATTGTCTCTACATCCATCTGTATCAGCGAGAAGGTTTTGGCCCCCATTTGGGGAGTTAACAAATGGGTAAAGCTGTGTCTGGATGCACCTTGATGGATCTCATCATTTTAATGAGTTTTCCATTTAAGCAGGAAAGCTGAAACTGAAAAAAACAAAAAGTTACCTCTTTTCTTTTGAATGATAGATCAAAATCGTAAATATACTTAACACGGATTATCTGCCTTATGAAGAACTAAGGATAACAACAAATCAGAACCTTTTTTTTTAAATCATGGGATTTTCTGGAACGCATGCTTAATGAATCAGAAATAAATGAGAGGAGTGCAGGTTCTGATTTCCCAAATCAGCCAGTTAATGGGGAACTTGAGTAGCGAGGCCATCTGGTGAGCGGACCGCAAACAAACACCATGTCCAACACCACTCCTGTTTAAACAAAATAGATGATAAGATCTTGCGTGTGCCATTTAGAGAGAGCAACTCTTTTTCATGTTTGAAATACTTCCCATTCACATATGAATCATCAGCACCATTGATTTTTCAGCAGCTAATGCTAAGGTTATATGTTTCCACATTAATTTGCTATACTCCGATAATGAGTTCTGAAGAATAGCATCATTGAGTTCAGTTACTGCATTTAAAATTTTTACCTGAAGGCTTATAATGAATTAATATTGCTATTTTGACTGGAAGATAAAGAAAATGTCTGTATTTTAAAAAGTAGTTGATAGGGGGTTAGTAGTTAAAAAGCAAGAGTAGGTAATATAAAATTAGGTTACTTTCCTTGCATGGATTTGTGCAGTCTGAATACTAAATACATTTTTAAGGTTTCTTAAAAAAACTTATATTTGTGCCCAATGTAAAATAACTAATGTCCCAGTCAGTGGGTAATTTGTTTGACCCTGAGCTGTGAAGACGGTCTTTGCTCAACTCCTGTGCATGCAAAAGCTCTGAGGTTGTTAGAAAGGACGTTTTAGGGGTAGGCTCCGGGGACGAGATGTTGTTTCCCTTGCTTCCAATGGTGTCATCACCCCTGAAAGAGAAGAAAATGCATTTTCAATTCATTCTGCCAATAGGAGCTAACTCTTCCAGTCCACATGGAGCTAAATTTTCATTCATGCTTATGGGTGTTTTCACAGTGTTAGGGCTATGGGATGTGGTTTTCAATTAGAGAGACAGCAAATTATACCCTCTGGGAAAGGGAAGGAACAGTCCCATTCTTAAGCATGCCAGGTGGGTGTATGCAGAGAAATAATCAGATGTATGGTCATCACTTCAGGGTTTATGCAGGAAATTGTATGTGCCTGTGTGTGAGTACACATGCATGCATAGTTTCCTCAAACTTTTTCACATGTCTTTCGGCCTAATTATCATATCTTTTAATACATCAGTCAGGATGGAAGTGATAAATAGCATCCTAGTTGCTAGTCAAGCAAAATAGACCTAAGTGGTTATATCAAAGTCACAAAGGAATTCCTAGGGGATAGCTGACTAGGCTACACTGGCCAGTTAGTTAGCTAGCTAATGTGAACTATTTCCTTTCTGAATAATTCGAAGGAATGAGTCCCTTATGTGTTTGTGGCCTTAAAGCGTTTGTGGCTGGGTTAACCTTTGTGAGACTTTATTAAATCATAGCAGACTTCTTGGGTGTTGAATTATTATGCACTATTTTTTGATTTTTTAAAGCACTTTTAAAAAGCTCTATACTGAAAAAGTATACATATCATAAATGTGCAGCTTGATTAATTTTCACAAAATAAACAAACCTATGTAACCAGTATTCAGATGAGGAAACAGAACATTCTCTGTTTACTTGTAAAGAGTAAGAAGAATCGTCTTTCAGGTTTCAGCTATTTTTGGCTTAATCAGCAAGACAACATATAAAACCTATAACAGATACAACTGACCTTTGAATCTGCTTGTGTAATTAATAAATAGTCTATATTCAACATAGGATTGTTCTGTGGAAAATCAACAGTGGCACAATTAATCCCAAACCATTTTTATTTCTTTTAGGACATGTCATAGAACTTTCCACAGGATTTCTAACAGAGACCATATTTCTCCCCTAAAGACAGTATGTCTGAGCCAGAATGAAAGTTAGTTCATAATATTTGGAAAGGCAACTCAGAATTCTATTGGCAAAGAAATAAACTAGGTAACTAAATATTGCTCCCCCAAATTCACAATCTAAGTGGTGCACAGTAATCAGAAGTTGACCTCCTAAGCGAATATAAAATGTGGAAGGTAGAACGAAGCATCTGAAAACACGCTTCTGCTTCCCCATCTCACTGAGTAGCTTCTCTTACCTGTGTGAGAGACCACAGACTTAGTGCCCAGCTTTCAGAACTCATGTTCAAACTGTGGGTCCTGAGTAACCCCAGCACCTAGTAAAGATTCTTAAAGTTAAATCTCGTTTTATTTTTTCAAGTTATCTTAAACTTCATAATCAAATCTTTAGATAAAGTTATGTTTTATTAATTTAAAACACTTCTCCGACACTTTGTAAAACAAACATTGAAAATAGCTAGGTTCGCATTTGAGATATCTCCTAGAGAATAGCAGAGACATGGATGGGTTGTAAAAGTAAAAATAAGGAAGGAAAATGACATCTTCAGGAGGATCACTTTAAAACAGGAATGGCAGGAAGAAAAGTTAAGACATGAACAACGTTCAAATTGATAAATGCAATAAATAGTTGAATAGTCAAGGTATGTCAGTAATACAAAGTTTATTATGTGCCAAGAGCACCACATTTAGAGTGAAAGTAGAATCTCTAAGAAAACTCAAAGCTGTTCAGGTTGGTTCTCAGAATACCAGGTGCATGAACATCCATAAAACTTTCTGAAGGTTCTTCCAACTCCACACCTCAATCCTCCTCCAGACGTACGAGTGTTGGCTTATTAATGACCCAGGCAGAATATCACGCTTATCTCTTTGGGATGAAATTCTCTACTCAGTCAGGTTAATCAGAGTCCTTTTATTAATCAGTGTAATGCACTTTAAGTACTTTGTTTACAGCCCACAACCACAGGTTCTTTGGTTGCGAGTCATATTTTTAATTAAAATAAGCAGTGAGTGATTTCACTGGAAAACTTTCTGGCAGGTATTCTATCTACTTTAATAAGTAGCAACTGCCATCCAAACATCTTAAGAGCTCTTATTTCCACTCTCTTAATGAATAATCTCCTTTTCACCTAATTTTCTTCATTGCCAGAAATTCGCGGTCATGCTCTCCTATTACCATCTTAGGGTTCTTTTCCATTCCTTGATGTTCAAACTTTTTTTCTTTTCCATTTTACATGTCAAGCTTACTATTTTCCCCTCTCCTGGGAAAATGCTGAGATTTATCTTGAAAATACGAGCTATTAACAAATAGCCAAGAATTGCCTGTGGCCTCTAATCCTTCAGGACTTTGTAAATACACAGACACAGTCAGAGCAAATGTCTGCTAATCCAGCCACAAGCAACGTGTGTAACTTTTGGCTGTAACAACAGAGGCTTCTCGGGTGTGGGTTCTTTGGACGCAGATAACATTCTAGCCGATAACTGTTGCAGAGCCCAGGCTTAGCTGAAGGTTTACCACACAAGCGTCCAGCCCCCAAACACTGGAGCAGGATCAATTCTTCCCCAAGATGGTCCAGCCCCTTTGCTCCTGAGCCAGAGGACTTTCTTCTCAGCTGCTCAGACATCTCTCTTTGGCTTCTGATTTAAATTAAACACACACAGGATTACTGGACATTTTTGTAGGCATCAAACTTCTAAAATTTCTTTAGAACCTTCACTTACAAGGGATATTGGATTGGAAGTTAACTGAATGTCACCTTCAGATTTTCAAAGGCTGTTTAAAGATTTTGGGGAGACCAGAATTTGAGGTGACCTCTGTCTACTAGCTACAGAAACATGGGTACTTTATGCTAATTAATCCCTACAAGATATTATCCTATTTGTAAAGTGGAGGCTTTGTTAAGACCCTCTCTGAATCCTGCGCGTGCCGATAATTCCCCATGTTCTGAAGGGGGGATTGTATGCACAGACGATGGATCATGGTCTGGGGAAAGTAAAAGTGACTAGATAGTCTGGATCCACATGGACAGGGCCTGGCCTCGAGAGTTCTCTGTGGCATTTTTGCCCAGGAGGAAGAATGTGTGTTCCCTTCTCCTCAGTCGAGCTCTTTGCTCAAGCAGAGTTCTTCTGCCAGGAGCCATCACCGCTCACTTGCTGTAGACCTGGGCCAGAGTGTGCATGGTTGACAAGTGGGGGAGGCAGCAGGTTCTTCACTTTCCACCCACGGGCTTTGTTCCCGGGTTCTGCTCCATCCTGGTCCTCAGTACAGTCTGGGCACATAACCAAATGGCAGCCTGATGTCTGCAGAGGTGAGCAGAGGGGGCCCTTTGAAAGACAAATGCTAAACATACGTCACATGCTAGGTTCTGAAGCCCTGGGACAATTCTGCTGTGGAAACAAGGGGGAGACTACAAAAGGAACCTGCCTGATTAGCCATATTTCTGTCATGCTGGGACTGTCGGTGATTAGATTTTGGAGGACAA